ACGGACTTTAGTCTTGTCGCATTAGATAGTCTTGGACTGTGTCTGGATGTACTCGACCTGGTCACGTTCCCAGGACTCGTAGATCAGGACGTCGTAGTACGTGCTGTTTATTCTCGACTAGTAGTCTGGAACTCGATGCTCACGGAACTGAGTGTCAGAGTACTGTAGGACTTAGAGATAAGTAGTACTTTGGACTTGATAATAATCCGTTATCAGACCGGACTGGCGCTGTCAAAACACTGTTGCGAGAACAATGGTTTGAAGTTAATCGTCTTGCTTTGTACTTTAGAAGAGTACGCTCCCAGAGTGGATGTGTCAGGACTGGTGGCAGGGATCCTGGCTGTCCTGGTGTCTGCTGTTATTGCCACAGTGCTGGGAATCTACTGCTACAAAGCCAAGCAGAAAGGGGTGAGCGGAGGTCAACCCAGTAAGTTCTCCTCTGATGTGTGGACCATTTTTTCTCCAGTTTAAGTGAGGATGTGGAGAATAAATGGTCCATCAGACATTTTAACTCTGCTGGCCATGACTTCGATACTCTCGGGTTCGCGATATTGTTACCTTGCCAGATAACAAATATCTAATCACCCTCAGTGACCCCCAGTCCTGACACATCCACTCTGGGAGCGTACTCTTCAAAGACAAACACGATTAACTTCAAACCATTGTTTCCCCAACAGTTTTCACAGCAGTCCAGACTACAGTCCTGACTACAGTCCTGACCTCAGTCCAGACTACAGTCCAGACTACAATCCAGACTACAATCCTGTCTACAGTCCTGACTACAGTCCAGACTAAAATTGAGACTTTAGTCCTGACTACATCATTTGAAGACTTTTCTGTTTGCCACTGCCTTTTATTAAACCAAACTTGAGAGCTAATATTTTACACTGCACTGTAACTTTATTCTCCTGTTTTATCTGTCTTATTCCTTTTTAGCTTCATTTATTTCCAAATTCAACACTTTTTAATTGTATTTAAATGTATTTTTACTTGTGTTGCTTTTATATTCTGTCTTGATGGCTTTTATGCTCTATGTAAAGCAGTTTAAATTGTCTTGTTGTTGAAATGTGCTATGCAAATAAACTTGCCTTGCCTTGCCTTACCTTACATCCAGACTACAGTCCTGACTACAGCCCAGACTTTAGTTCTGACTATAGTCCTGACCTCAGTCCTGACTACAGTCCTGACCACAATCCTGAGTCCTGACTAGACTACAGTCCTGACTACAGCCCAGACTACAGCCCAGACTGTAGTCCTGACTACATCCAGATTAGAGTCCTGACTACATCCAGACTACAGTCCTGACTTCAGTCCCATTTACAGTCCAGACTACAGTTATGACTACAGTCCAGACTTCAGTCCCAGCTATAGTCCAGACTACAGTCCTGACTTCAGTCCTGACTTCAGTCCCAACTACAGTCCAGCCATAGTCCAGACTTTAGTCCTGACTTCAGTCCTGACTACAGTCCTGACTTCAGTCCAGACTACATCCATACTACAGTCCTGACTTCAGTCCTGACTACATCCAGACTTCAGTCCAGACTATAGTCAAGACTACAGTCCCGAGTATCTGAGTATCACTCCCCCTTCAATCAATGATTGGTCAGTGGACCTTTAATCATGCAGATATAATAAGTAAAATAAAATGTGATCATTATAATAATGATAAAGTTCAGTATAATAATGATGCATTTATTGGTCCTTGGGTATTTTCAATATGAAAACATTTCATTCTGCTGATGAGCCCAGTAGCAAGGCCTGCAGACTACATAGATAATGTTCTTTACCTTGACTGTTGACATAGTTGGTCCAAAATTTTTCCTGAAAATGAAAGAGAAAGAAAATGTAATGATGTAGCTTCATTAGAGAGAAGAATAGACACATTGAGTGACGACCACAGGACATTTAATTCACAGTCCTCTCATCAGGTGCTACAGTAAAGGTTCAGGTAACAGTTCTAGGAGTTCTGGTTCAGTTGAACGTATCATCTTCAGACTGTAGATGTAACAATGCTGTGATATTAACTAAAAGGCATTTCATGGACTCTTAATGATTTCTGGTGCCCTTCAAAAAATTTCTCAGTCTGTTCACATAACTGTCACACAAAGTTCAAATGTTAAGGTGACGTCCACCTCCTCAACCCCTGACTGTCTTGAAAGCAGCTGTAAGGTTCTACATCAGTGTACAGCATCATTACCGTCTGAGCGTCGTCCTCGAACACCTCTCTAGCCTCCTCACGGCTGCACATCTCCTCCATACACTCCCTTTCCAGACTGTCAGACACCAGCAGCTCAAAGTCCCAGCTGTTGTAGAGCAGCGAGCGCGACAGGAAGGAGGTGGCCGACTGCTCGTCCAGCAGCACTGGCTCTCCTGCAGGACACAGGCCGTTTACACTCAGAGCACACACTGACAGCAACACAGCCCCATACACTGTGATACAGAGATGCTATGAAGAAGCATTGTTTTGTTAAGACAGTTTTTCATTGTCGTGGCTCTGTGCTCCAGCTCTAAGGATCAGATGAAACACTGACTGAGGTTAAAGTTTTGGAGGACAAACTGCAGCCAAACAGTCCCATACATCCAACTCCTCTGAGCTCCACCAATTCCAGAAACTACTAAAACACATCAGTAAGTCACACACACATAGATGGACAGTAACAAATTACATTTACATAAGTACTGTACTTAATTATATTTTCTGAGTATTTACTCTTCACTTGAGCATTATTTTTTGTAAACTTCTGACTGTTACTCCACTACACCTAAAGACAAATATTGTACATTTGACTCCACTATAAAGTACTTTCTATGAAGTACTCAGTGACTTCATTTTATTTTATTTTGAAAATGTGATAGACAATGCACTGTGTGCATCACAGGAAAAAAAACAATCACAGCCAACTCCTCCACTGTCAGTCATGTTTGAACCTGTCAGTGTCCTAACGATGGCGACATTAGATAAAGACGAGGCAGGAGATTCTTCACCAGAGAATCTGAGGTCTGTGTTTGAAGGTTTACAAATAAAGACAGATTCCTTTATTTTGAAATGTTTGCTGTGTTTACCACGACCAGACTTCATCACTGACTAAAGAAAAGAAACATGAAAACAACAATAGCTCCTTTTGTTGATTCATTTGTGTTTTTATGTCCATGTCTACAGTCTCTTTATCATATTCTACAGTCTTCAGTCTTCTACACAATCATTACACTGCACCAAAACCCCAAGAATCCGGAGATATCGTTTTAAGGTTCTTGCAAGAATCTGGATCATATCAGGAACATGTCTGGAAATGTTTACAATGCTGTGATCGGAGCATGTCCAGTCCAGGTTTCATCATATATACGGTCATAAATTGAAATATCTGGGCAACTACATCTCCAGATTCTGGGGTATTTTGCGCAGTTTTTTAAAATCAATCACTCCAGTACTATATCTCAAATAAGAATCTGACTGAACAACTTTGACCTGTATTGCAGTCGTATTTGAGTAGGAGGGTCTATACTTTGACTCATGTAATGGAGCTGTGGACGTTGTCCACATCTGGTCGCACACATGTTCCGTCATCACCATGAGCACACATGCAGTAGTTTAATCTGACTCAAGTACTTCCAAGAGCAATAAATGTGGATTAATCCGCTGCTGAAAATAGTCCTCAAAAAGGTCACTATTTCCTCTTGTTAAGAGGCGTGTGATAAACGCTACATTTACATTCACTCATTTATCTTTTACCCAAACTAACTTACAATGAGAGACATCACTGAAACTTCAGTGCAATAGGAGACCTTGGTGTAAGTACTAAGAACTACATCTCTGTAATATGTGAAGGAGATCAGGTGGAGAAGAGCCGTGAAAGTTCATAGTAAGAGCTAGTTAGACATGTCGGGGTTTTAGAGGTGTTAGGAGAGGAGGTGTGTTAGGAAAGCTGTGTTAGGAAACTACTGAGCCTTAATCAGAAGTGAAACTTTATAGTTGTGGTTTTAAAACTTAAAAGAGAAAATGGAGCCTAGTGGAGTCAGATGAATTGAGAGATGAGGAAGTGGAGTAAAAAATAAATTAAAACGAAATTAAAAAGAAAATGGTCTGTGGCTTAAAGGACTAAATGAAAACAGAATGAAATACTACAGTAGTTAAGGTGAAGTTATGAAGTTATGAAAGGTGAACTAAACAAACCTACAGAGAAACACAGAGAGAGAGAGTTTTACAGTTTTATCATAAAGGTACAAAGAATAAAGAAACAACATTCTGCAAGCAGGAGACAGTTGATGACTGTGATGAATGAATTGTTGTTACTTCAGTGTTTTTGAACGAAGCTCAAACTGTGTCTGTCCCATTATAAACCAGTCAGAGACCGTGCTGTGTTCAGTGAGGTTACACGGCTCTGACAGGTGAGGCTTACCTGGACTGAGCCTGGAGGTGACGGCGCAGTGAGTCAGCTGCAGCAGGGACAGCACAGGGATCCATATTGCCGACAACACCGCCATGGAAGCGAGCAGCTACACAGAGAAGATCCTTCAAAGACGTGACTTCAACACCGATGGTGTGGAGGACGAAGCTCTGACCCTCCTACACCTGTCAGAGAGGCTGCAGTCTGCTCCACCTGTCCCAGCTGAAGCTAGAGGTTCAGAAACATGGAGGTAGTAGAGTCTGTGACTGAACGCCTCTGTTCTCAGCTCTGAAACTAAGTGTTGGGCTGTTCATCATAAAACAAGTTGGACGACATACCAGCTGGAGGGAGGGACCTCCTCAAACCTGTCTGTCTACTTGTCACTGTCCACTCACCGCACACTGCCTCTGTTTACCTGCTTGTTTTCTCCTGTGTGCGTGTGTAGTTGTAGCGTTACACACTGACAGGAGAGAAAACCTGACAACATCAATCTGTTAATAACGAACATGTTGTCTGTCTTCTGTTACCTGTCCAGTAAAGTTGCCTATTTTTCCTACTGATGCAAAATTTTGTGGTGAAACTGCTTCACAATTGTTTTTAGTCATTTGACAAACTGCAAAATTCATTAACTGAATACTACAATTTAGATACAGCTAAGGTGTTATCATCCATCCCACACTGACAGGTATCCCCATACACAAATGTAATATATCTACATATATTGAATTCCCATGTATAAAATATATGTACATACAAAATAAAAACATATATGTACAAATTATATATGAAACTGATTAGAAATTGGAACAATGCCATATATTGACATATATCTCTAGCTCATACAAATATGCATGTGTATGTATGTATATTCTTATACTGTAGACATGTTACATAATATATGTATCCATCTCAAAGCCTGTCAATATATATTGATAACAGTAGGGTCCAAATATCAGAAACAAGTTTCCCAGAATGGAAAGATAGAAATGTTTAAAATTAAGTAATGAATAAGATTAACATATATAATCGTATAGATTTTTAAATGTATGTTGTTAATAAACTTGCATATATAAATTAAATGTATATCATTAACATATATGTTTGCAACATGTTATATCATATAAAAAATCATCATAGATATGTAATAATATATGTACATATAAAAATTTTACTATGGTATATGTATGTTACAACTTATATTTTATGTATATATACATATACATATATATATGTACATATGTGATTATAATATATCACCTTATAGGTGATGGCAACAGAACACATAATATGACATATATTACATTTCTGTACATTTCTGCATCATTTCCTGTCAGTAATAAACAGCACAGCACATACATGTCAGTGCACAGACAGAGCTCATATGACCAAACCTTCAGCTCCACTGCAGTGAACTGAATGTAAGGTGTGACACCTTGTTCATTAAGATCACACCTGGATCACACCTGGATCACACTTGAAGTCATTAAAGACACAACAGAGTGAGGAGTTCCAATAAATGTTTTAATGATGTATAAATGTGATTGATTTCAGTATAAAACAGATGATGTGAACAACAGGCTGCATATTAAAAAGTGAAATGAAACATTTACAGATGGGGAACACTGACAGGAGTTTCTACTGAACTAAGGGGGGGGGGGGGGGGTCGATCATCCTCAGCTCATTTTTTATTGCTGAAAAGCTGATTGAAGATGTGAATCTTTTTTTGCAGCAGTGACCTCTACTGGCTGGTTGAGGCAGCACACTGTGAACAATCAGATCCATCCTCAGACATATCACATCACCATGACATCATGATGATGTCACATGTGACAGCTATGGGAAACACTACATCAGTGAAACAGTGAGGACTCAGGACAAAACACCACACCAGAATCTACTGGAAGAGGTCAAAGGTCATCGAGTTAGATTCAAGGAGGACCATGTTTGATCAGAGTCAAGGGTCATGTGATGAACCATCTCATCATGACTGAGTCTCTCTGCTGATGAAGACCATGAGATGCAGTTAAAAGGTCTAGTAAGTGAACCTGGATCAGGATCCTATTGTTAAACTGCTGACTATCCTGGCAGTATCAGAATCCAGTCCACCCATCACCAGAACCACTGACACCCAGTGAACCCAGTGAATCCAGAACCCAGTCCCTGCACAGAGGCTGGACTGTGCAAACACACACAGGTTCTGTTGTCATGGACACTGCTCTGCACAATGGTCCAGTCTCTAATTCAAACTTAGACTCGTCCTCATCCAGCTGGTGAAGGCTGAGTTCCTAAACTGGAACAGTCTGGACCTGGATCATGTAAACCTGATCAGGCCCTTGATGTGATTGGCCAGCCTGGTATTTATGTTTTCAATATTGTGTCTCCTTAAGGCCATGCATGTGGCGAGACGAGAGGAGGCGACAGGAAGCAGCCTCAGCTGTGCTGTGGGCTCTGCTGCCCCCTGCAGAACGGCAGGAGCACGACAGCACTCCATGTTCTGCCTGGAGTTTGGGCGTGCCGCACTTCATAAGCAAGTTGAAATGTTATGGACAAATTTTGTTCAGTCAAGACGTAGAAGTGGAAATAACTTCCTGTCAGTCAGCTGAAGTCTAGTGATGTCACTGCTGACATCAGTACCTGCAGGACGCAGCATTTTCTCTTTTCTACATGATGGCACGATGATACTATGTACAGTAAGGTCATTATTACTCCAGGCCACAGGGACAGTACCAGTCTCAGTACCGGTCTCAGTACTGACACAGTACTGGTCTCAGTACTGGTCTCAGTACCGGTCTCAGTACCAGCGTCGGTGTCGGTCTTTACATCCTCTCATCTAAACAAAAGGTAAGACTCATTTAAAAGTTTTGGCAAAAGTGCAAATGAAACCATTTGAAAAGATAATTATGCACCTCATCTCTCTCTCTCTCTCTTTCTCTCTCTCTCTCTCAGACACACACACACACACACACACACACACACACACACACACACAAAAACGGACACGGACAAACACTCTTTTTTGGACAAGCTGTGGAGCTGTAAAGGGGCAGGGCTATGGTGTCCATGGTAACAGTGCTCAGAGGAGGACACAGGGACAGCCGCCACTGTTCTGTTTGCCTGAGTGACGAGCCGGAGGAGGAGGACTCTCCATCTCCTGAAACCGTCTGTGGATGAAGAAGAGGAGACACAGACAGGGGAATGAATCATTGTCAGGTGTTGTTGCTTGCCCCCTCCCCCCTGTACAGATCACACGGTGTCACTTTATTCCCTGTTGAGATCCCACATACAGGCTGATGCAGGTTTAACAGAGGTTGAAAGTTCAGCTGGAGGGACGAGAGAACGTGAAAAGTGTCACAGAATTCAGGTTTTAGGGACAGGTTCCTAGAACTACATTCAGGAGGTGACACGAAATCCAGGCTCCTAGGCCTTTTACGGGTCTGGAAACACTACTGCTGCATCACTGAGGACCAGGACAACCAGGACTTAACAAAGGACAGTGGACGACAACATGTCTACACCCTCATTAGTGTGAGTGTCCTCCTGATTCATTTGCATAGTGCAGTGGGAGGACCATCACAGGGCTTCAGCAGAACAGTACAGGGTCATCTGATCAACACACTGAACCAGACTGAGTCTTACAGAGTCTGATAAACCCTAAAACACCTCGTCTGGTTCTCTCACTGCACTTCCTTGATCATGTTTCATGTGCTGGAGAAAGACTGTTTTTTGAACTGAAAGGAAAAACAGATACACCCCCCTCCTTCAGAAGCTCCACCCCCAAATTCATGGATGTGCATTGCCAAGGCAGCGACTCAGTGGTGGAATCCAGGGCTCTTTATACAGTGTGGAAGTAAATACTGTTTCATACAGCTGAGGCAAAACAAACCTTATAATATAAAACATCATCACACAAACAACATGAACACAAACATCCAGAAAACAAGAGTAAAACATAGAGAGAGTGGTTTAGATTGTTTTTACTCAACTACCTAGCATAGCATATAAACAAATAAATCCACTGTGCTAACAGACTGGTGTTTTTAGGTCTTTGTCTGTTTGTGTCAAAACTGCTTATAAGATGCTTCACTTTTGTGTGACACAACTGAACTCTACAATGACATTATGTTTTACTCATTTGAAGTAGTAGATTTCATAGAAGATCAATGTGGTGATCAGTGTTGATGTTTGTTGTTGCTACGATGTCCATCGTAAATAAATCCATGTATGAGAAACACTGGTACCTGATGATCTGCACCAGCTCCAGGAAGGCTTCATCCACGTTGTAGCGGTTCTTGGCTGAAGCCTCCATATAGTGGATCCTGTTCTCTCTGGCAAAGGCCTGAGCGTCCTCCCTGGAGATCTGCACACAGAGCAAACAAGATCCAGGTCTGGTCTCCAGTAAGACCCTCCACTGTCACCTTTATAGCTATACAGGTAGGAGGGGGATTTACTGCCCATCTGTTAAACGAGGTGGCGTCATCCAGCTCATCATATTAGTCTATGTGATACCTGAGTCCAGTCTGAACCTGGGTTGGAAGCTGATTAGACTCCCTGACCCTCCCTCTGGTCTCAAGCCTAGTACGAGAGCCAGGCAGTATGGGGAGGTGGACAGAGCGTGTGACTCACCACTCTTTGCTGTTCCAAGTCAGCCTTGTTTCCAACCAGCACCATGGGGAAGTCGTCCCGGTCCTTCACTCTCAGGATCTGGGTGTGGAATTTCTGGACCTCATGGTAGCTGTTGGGAGGACAGAGGGAAAGACTCAGTCCACAAGACCCACATGGATTCTGAGTCAATGATATACATATGTGACTCTGAGTCACATCAAACGCTGCAGAAGAGTGCATCTGATCGTACAGATGTCCACACACACACACACACACACACACACACACACACTTACCTTCCTCGGTCATTGAGTGCAAACACCAGTAGGAAGCCTTCTCCTGAGCGCATGTACTGCTCCCTCATCGCCCCAAACTCCTCCTGACCTGCTGTGCCCAAGACTGACACACACGCACACACACACACACAAACAAATATACTGTATATTTATAAGGGTTCCCTCCTCTGCCATTAGAGCCTTTAACAGAGGTGTGTTACATTGTGTGTTACAGCGTGTTAAAGTTTTAGTGTGTTACAGTGTGTTACAATGTTACAGTTTGTGTTACAGTGTTACAGTGCATGTTACAGTGTGTGATACAGTGTTATAGTGTGTTAAAGTTTGTGTTACAGTGTTACTGTGTGTGTTACAGTGTAAGTGTGTGTTAGGGTGTTACAGTGCATGGTATGTTAGTGTGTTACAGTGTGTGTTACAGTGTTAAAGTGTGTGTTACAGTGTTACAGTGTGTGTTACAGTGTTACAGTGCATGGTGTGTTAGTGTGTTACAGTGTTACAGAGTGTGTTACAGTGTGTGTTACAGTGTTATAGTCTGTTAAAGTGTGTGTTACAGTGTTAGTGTGTGTAACAGTGCATGTTACAGTGTATGATACAGTGTTATAGTGTGTTACAGTGTGTTACAATGTTACAGTGTGTGTTACAGTGTTACAGCGTGTTACATTGTTATAGTCTGTTAAAGTGTGTGTTACAGCATTACAGTGCATGTTACAGTGTGTGATACAGTGTGTTACAGTGTGTGTTACAGTATAACAGTGTTACAAAGTGTGTTAGTGTGTTACAGTGTGTCACTGTGTTACAGTATAAGAGTGTGTTACAAAGTATGTTAGTGTGTTACAGTGTGTGTTATAGTGTGTTACATTGTGTGTTACAGTGTTATAGTGTGTTAAAATTTGTGTTACAGTGTTATAGTGTGTTACAGTGTTACAGTGTGTCACTGTGTTACAGTATAAGAGTGTGTTACAAAGTATGTTAGTGTGTTACAGTGTGTGTTATAGTGTGTTACATTGTGTGTTACAGTGTGTGCTACAGTGTTATAGTGTGTTACATTGTGTGTTACAGTGTTATAGTGTGTTAAAATTTGTGTTACAGTGTTATAGTGTGTTACAGTGTTACAGTGTGCATTACAGTGTTATAGTGTGTTACAGTGTGTGCTACAGTGTGTGTTAAAGTGTTAGTGTGTTACAAAGTGTGTTACAGTGTGTGTTAAAGTGTTACAGTGTTAGTGTGTTACAGTGTGTTACTGTACGTTGCAGTGTTACAGAGTGCGTTATAGTGTATTTCAGTGTGTGTTACCGTGTTATAGTGTGCTACAGTGTGTGTTAGTGTTATAGTGTGTTACAGTGTGTGTTAAAGTGTTACAGTGTTATAGTGTGTTTCAGTGTATGTTACAATGTTATAGTGTGTTACAGAGTGTGTTACTGTACGTTGCAGTGTTACAGAGTGTGTTACAGTATGTTAGGGACCCCCCTCTGAATCACATCTGACGTATTTGTTTTATGCTGATCCGCACTGTGGCCGACTCATTTCTAAATGCGCTCTGTAGTAAATGTGACCTGACAGAGCCACAAGTTTGTGTCTCTCATGTGTTGTTGTTAGCGTCTTAGAGCTCAGCATCTGTGCCTCTGACAGAACTGGACAGTTTAGCAGCCCACCATGCAGGTCTGTGGGTCCAGAATCCTCAGCTGTGTGACTCATGAGAGGCACCATCACTTCCTGTTGAAGCCTCTGACACAGCCAGTGACACAGCCAGTGACACAGCATCATGATATGCTGGCCCCACCCTTTATACCACCTACAGCACTCACTGAAACATCTGTGACCAGTATCACAGTCCAGTCAGATCTAAGTGGTTTCAGAGACGGAGACTTTCTACATGTTGTGTTCACCACAGAAGCTCCAGAGTACATGAACAATGTCATCAGATCCACAGTAAAAAGTCTGTGTGTCCTATAAACATGGACGTGTGTGAGGAGCAGCCAGACTGACTCACAAACAGCAGAGTTAATGTGTGTGTGTGTGTGTGTGTGTGTGTGTGTGTGTGTGTGTGTGTGTGTGTGTGTGTGTGTGTGTGTGTGTGTGATGATTCACATGTTACTGTGGTGAAACAGCAGTGTGACCCACAGCACCACAGCCTGCCTCCACGGAGCAACGCCGGCCAAGTACAAGTCCTAACAAGGGAAAGAAACATGCAGAGAGCAAACACACTGCCTGTGTCTTACCTCATCACACTGCAACACACCCTGTGCTCTCAAACAAGCCTTCCACACACATTCTGCACTCACTCTCACTGTGAAGTGTGTGTGCAATGTGACGGAGCCTTACTGTCCAGCCGGGTCTCCTTTCCATCAACGGTACAGATCTTGGTGTAGGAGTCTTCGATGGTGGGGTCGTAGTCTGACACAAAGTAGGACTGTGGGACAGACTCTGAGTTAATGACAGTCTGCTGCTACAGGAAGTACTGCAGCTGCTGGATACAGTCAAACATCATCCATACATCAACACACATCTGACGCCATCTTCAACTCATGTATAGAGGACATTAGCTTGTAATGCTAACAGCGCTCAAGATGTGAACAGTAACAGATTAATAATCTCCACATACAGACAGTGACAGGTTAAAGTACACAGAATGATGATGAGGGGTCACTGATGGTCTGATGAGGATGATAATGATGTCACAGTCGCCTGATCTCAGTCCAGCTGAACTATGGTAGATGTTGGAGCGACGTGTTAGACAGCGCTTTCCACCACCATCATCAAAACACCACATGAGGCAATATGATTATGAAAAATGTAGTTCATCTTCCAGTAGAGTTCAGAGACATGGAGCAGTGAAGCTGTTCTGGATCAACAACTGACTGAGACACTGTATGATGGTGTCTCCTTTAACCTGTCACTGTCTGAGTGTTACCTGTTAACAGTGAATATGAACATGAATAAGTACACTGACTCACATACTGGACTAAGGTACAGATGTGAGGAGCTGGATCTGAGTATTTCCATGTTATATTTCTACTCTGCACTGTCCTCTCTTTACGTAGTACTGTTAGCTGTGCTGTTACTGTTACTCAGGTGATGGAACTGGGGCCAGTTTCACAGGGATATCTCAGACTGGTCTGTAGTGTTGGTCCAGTCTTAATGTTTCTCACAGATTAGTCTGATGGAAATGATGCAAATAAAGACTCATTTTAAGACAAAAACATTAGACACCTTGCCTCCAGACTAACTACGGTCTACAACCAATGTTACCATGGTAACAATCAATGACGCCTGCGCTGACCAGTAGCACCCAACAACAGAAACAGGAAAACATGGCTCATAATTTGTGGTTTGCTAACATTGTTATGGAGAAAGCAAAGAGAAGGGAAAGAGTTTTTAGACCAAATCAGATTTTTCTTTTTATTGTTTCACTCCTCAAGTAAAACGTCCTTGTAACTGTTGAAGTCTTCCAGTAGACAAACATTTTCTGCTGAAGGTAAATAGAGCTGAGAGGTTGGAAACGGTGACTCGGTCAACCATTTTTTTTATTTTGAAAAAAGTCTTTATTTACCCAGAATTCATTGTACCACAGTATGTACCAAACACTTCAAATTACTGTGAATGTTCTGATCAGCATCCATCACAGTGAACATCATGTCTGCTTGTTCCACATGCAACAGGAGCTGAATGAAGAGCAGACGTGATGGACAACACATATATGACTAAAGGCCATATTAATCACTTTATCAATCGCTGTATTGATCAGTGTTAATAACAACAGCTGTCTGAAAATCCTCACCAGGCTTTGCTATGTCTTAAGTTCATCAGGACCCCCACCTCCAGCTTAGCTGGGGGAGCCTTAACTGTATAAATCTCTGTATTGATCACTGTATTGGTCACTGATAACTGAGTATTAGTGCCTCCCACTGGCAGGTCTTTTCCTGTTACACATCTGTTACACATCTGTAACCAACACGAGTCATTACTGTTAATAAACCCTTTATAACACAATGTGCACAAACACACGCGCGCGCGCACACACATACACACACACACACACACTCACACACACACACACACACACACACACACACACACACACACACACACAGTTCTGTCCTGGATGAACTGGATGGTGAGGGCGCTCTTCCCCACCCCCCCTCCTCCCACCACCACCAGTTTGAATCTTTCCTCTTCGCCACTCATACTGGTTTTGAACTGGGATTGATCCGGACCAAAAACCTTCCCGGGCCTGATACAGAGTGCCGCGGTTCACCAGCAAACAGCGCCGATCCGAGCCGAGACCACGACCAGGGTGAAGAAGTCGAATGAAGCGAAACTTGTTCACATGGAGCTCATGGTCTACAGACAGTCTTTACCGCACCGACACGTCGTTCAGAGACACACCTGAGGCCAAAGTCCCACCGGAGACACACCGACCGACAGCCGAGACAGCTTCCTGCGGACCGGCACCGTGTTTCGGGCCGAGTTTTGGGTCTGAAGCGGTCTGTGGTGTCTTCAGTCCTCGGCCTCCAGGCTGCTGCTGAGGGCGGAACTGCTTCCTCTTTTTCTCTTCTCAAGAAACTGAAGCAGCCACACTCTGACACACACACAGACAAAAACACACACTCACACAGACACACACTGACAAACACACACACACAGCGGTCGACACCTGGAGAACACACACACTCCAGCAGCACACCTGAGTTTCCTCCTCCTGCAGACTGAAAAGTGAACTCAACTCTCTCATGTGTCACTTTCCTTATTTGGTCATTCGGAGTATCCGTGACGTCAGTCAGCCGGCTAGCACGTACAGGATGTGAACGCAGCACGAATTGCTACAGTGTCAATAATAAGTTCTGTTCATGACGTCATGAGGCAGTTTTTGTTGGTTCACAGACACAGACACGGTCCGTCACTAGACCCCGAGTCCAACCCGGAACAAAGGGAACCGATCAGAAAACAGCTTCTTCACACTCACACACTACTCAGTCCCTCTGTAGCAGGGGCCGCTCTGTGAATGCTTCACAGAGAGGCCTCAGGTCACCGGAGAATCAGTTCATACACACAGACCACATTGACCTAAAAACAAACAGCACCCACAAAGAACTAGCTCCCTCCGTGAGTGTCTGGGAGCAGTCCAGGTTGGGAGACAGTCACCTGTCTGGGCACCTGGTGGTCTGGAGCATGACCACTGAAAGCAGAAGCTCTATCACTGGATTATAGCAAAACAAACAACAAACCAAATACCCATTTGGGTATTGTGCATATGTATATCTCTTTCTTCACCGAATTTCATGAGCATCCAAAGACCTCAATTCCAGCATGGCCCTACGTTTGGGGGTGCTATGGAGCCCGCTGGCCACGCCTGGGCCCAGTTCCCATTGAAGTTTGCAATTTTTCACAACCTTTATGTGTGTGCAAATCTGAGTTTTCAAGTATGCTAAACCCCTCAAAAATGCATTTTAGCAACTGAACAATAATAATAACTAATAATAATAGTGATGATAATAATCCTCCCAAAAACAATAGGTTCCTCACTTGAGCCCTAATAATATAGCTTTGTTGGTGGTTAATTGACGAACAGAACATGAGGAAGTCTATGCTCCTGTTTTTTGAGGCAAGTGAAATTTTAGTGTTATTTTATTTATATGGTAGCACTAATTAGCAGGTATTTCTGTCTGTTCTCACCAAACTTGATTTGTTAGCTTAGCCCATTAACTAGCTATTTACCCGGTAAATTAATTAGCCTTGGGTAAGCCTTTGAGGGGGACACCTAGATGCCCAGCTGTGCTAACAATGCTAACAGGAGCCTATGCTTACCACACTTATTTACCAGTATGAATGAAGACAGCTCCACACACTCTCCTCCTCTTTGCCTATTTTTTGAATTAGCTGGGAGTTAGGGATGGAGACAGGTACTGCCAAGATGGCGACGGTAGAGCAGCTCACTCTGAGCTTCAAAACCGCTCTTCAGAAACCTGTGGAGCCACGGAGGCTACGTCCATCTATATCTACACTATATGATTATGCATGAGCACTTTAACATTTCACACTTCAAGCTACTCTGCTGGAGTATTAATGTGGCCCCAACTTTCCTATGTGATCATCTGATTACAGTGAACATAGATTCATTTGGGAACATGCACAGTGTAGGAACAATATCAACTAAAATAACTCAGGACTCACAGTACGCCTGGGACTGTTGGGGGCCCTGGGGCTGCTGGGGCCTTGATTATTGTGTGGAACAGTGAATTACTCTGATGTTCCTCATGAGATGGGACGTCCTGCTGTAGCTGGTGTAAAACTAAAGGTTTGATGACCCACAGTCAGAGTCAGGACAGAGAGGTGTCTGTAACATCACTACACCTGAGCCCCTTCATTACTGTGTTCCTACCATATATTATTCATCATTAAATCATATTTTAATATTTTCACTGTCTGAGGTCATGAGACCAGGGACTTCAGATACATGTCTACATTCATCCACTGCACAAAGCAGTTTAGTTCTTGACCATTTTAAGATGGACTGTGGTACAATGAATTCTGGGTAAATTAATCCTTTTTTTCAATCTGGATCCAGCCACTCAACTCTGTTTACCTCAGCAGAAAATGTTTGTCTTTGTAAGAATTCAACAGTTACAAGGATGTTTTACTTGAAGAGTGAAACAATAAAAAGAAAAATCTGATTTTGGAAAAAGAAATGGCTGCTCTCTCCATAACAATGTTAGAAAACCACATATTATGAGCCATGTTTTCCTGTTTCTTGTTGTTGGGTGCTATTGGTCAGCGCAGGCGTCATTGATTGTTACCATGGTGACATTGGTCGTAGACCGTAGTTAGTCTGGAGGCAAGGTGTCTAATGTTTTTGGCTTAAAATGAGTCTTTATTTTTGTGAAACAGTCTCATTTGCATCAGACTAATCTGTGAGAAACATTAAGACTGGACCAACACTACAGAACAGTAACAGCGTGTGTCCGATAAAGAGAGGACAGTGCAGAGTAGAAATACAACATGGAAATACTCAGATCCAGCTCCTCACATCTGTACCTTAGTCCAGTATGTGAGTCAGTGTACTTATTCATGTTCATATTCACTGTTAACAGGCAACACTCAGACAGTGACAGGAAGTCTTAGGTCTGAGTTAGCCGGTGGGTAGGTGTCTAGTGTTTTTTTAAAATGAGACAGTATTTAGTTTTGTGAAACAATCTGACTTACATTAGACAGATCTATGGACCAACACTGCAGACCAGTCTGAGATATCTGTGTGAAACCGGCACCTGAGCACAACAGACCTGACTCTGAGACAAAGACAATAAGACACAGATGAAATCTCATCTTTAATCATCAGTAAATACATCTGAAGACAATTAGAATAAGAAGAAGAGTCACAGTAATAAACCAGATCATGTTTTATCTTCAGCTCTGCAATAAATAAATAAATAAATAAAGAGTTCAGCTCTTCACATCTCTCTGCATGTGTGTGTGTGTGTGTGTGTGTGTGTGTGTGTGTGTGTGTGTGTGTGTGTGTGTGTTTGGTTCCTCTTCATGAACATGCACAGACACAAACAAGCCCCTCCCCTCAGCACCTGTACGGCAGAGCAGGCTGTCCCATCCTCACAGGGTGGACAAACACCCCCCCCAGCAGCAGCCTCTCCCCCCAGCCCAGCAGCTTGTTGAGGGTGAAGCTGAAGGGTGACAGCAGGCCGTGCTCCTGCACCTCCGCTCTGCTGCACCTGTCGGAGGGACTCTGCCCTCTGTGGCCGGGCCCCGCCGGCCTGTAGGAGCCTGGGCCCCTCTGGGTCTTGGCCTCAGCCCTTCCTCCTGTCTCCCTGCTGTGGACAGGTCTGGATGAGGTGGTGCCCTGTGCTTGCTGGCTGCTGCCTGCTGGGGAGGGAGGGCTGATTCCCAGAGGGATCAAAGAGAGGGTGAGGCTTTTGCGTTTCTCTAATAGAGAAGCAGAGCCTGATGGGAGTTGTAGTTCTGTGGGCTTTGGTGATGGTTTGACTGGCTCATAGGAGCTTAGAGCTGGAGCCTCATGTGGCGTCTGGACCTGGTTTAGACTGAGAGTCAGATGGAGAGTCTGAAGTTTCCCTGACAAGGACGGCTGCTGGTTTCCCTCTGAGTGTCTCTGTTGTGTCCTGTCTGTGAGGGAGGGGCTCTCCTGTTTGACCTCTGTTGCATCACCACTGACATCGTCAGCCTCATAGTTCATCTTATGACTGGAGTGTAGGTGGCCAACACTGTCAGTGATGGACGGCCGGCAGCTGTCCAGCTGCTGCAGGAGGGGGTCACCACCAGGGGTCTTCTGGCTCAGGGTGCCCTGAAAGTGCTGCAGCTGACCCAGGAAGTTGAAGTTTGGGGAAATGGAGGGCCGCCGCTCTTTCACAAACCTAGAGGACAAACAGGAAGTGGGTTAGTGAGTGTGGGTGTTATTCTACACTTATCCACAGCTCAGTGAGACGTGACCTGCTGCTCTGACAGAAACCCACACCACACATGCAAGAATGAGATGTAAGAATGTTCAAATACAGTATGTTCATGCGAGTGTGTGGTGTGTTGGGGGGGGTCATTATCTATGTATTTATTGATCTGAACAGGATCAAAGGTCAGGAGGTGATGAAGCTTTTCAGGTCTGTTGTGTCATGTGAGGAGGAAGCTGTCGTCTCCAGTCAGATAGAGTGATGAGCTCCTCCATGTTGGCCATGACAGGGGTCAGCAGTCTTTGTACTCCGATGCTGAGCTTCAGTCGGAGACAGTAACATGGTGCAGCAGTCTTTCACTGCTTGATGATGTTCTGACAGAGACCCTGAATAGGGCTGTGGAGTTCAGTAAATCCACCGTGTACCAGCTTTGTCGTGGAAATCTCTCTGAATAATCTTATACTAACCCTGGTAATCCTAACCCCAAAAACTAATAGACAGGAGTAAATCTCTTTTAAATGATCACAACTGTCTCTGGAAACCATCACAGAGGTCCAGAGTCACAGCATAGTCAAAACTGGTTTTTATCATTTAAGAAATATTGCAAAAGTAATGAGCTTTTTATCCCAAGAGGACACTGAGAAACTCGTCCATGATTTTATTTCCAGTCGGCTGTACTACTGTAACAGATTGCTCACAGGAATATCCCAGAAACACCTGGATCATCTGCAGCTGCCAGAGTTTTAAATACGACCATATAGCACCTGTGATGAGGGTGTTACATAGGCTTCCAGTAAATTTTATGATTTCTAATTTAATGCTTGTTTGTAAGGCTATTCATGCACCTCAGTATCTATCTGTGATTTGTGAACCAGAGAGACCCCTCAGGTCAGCTGGAACAGGCCGTCTGGTTATTCCCCAGGTCTCCACGCAAACTGGAGAAACTGCCTTCAGCTTTTATTCTCCAAGCCGCTGGAACATGCTGCCTGATCATATTAGAGGTGCCGCTTTGCTATCATCTTTTAAATCTGAACTGAAAACTTTTTTGTTAGTCGTGCTCTCCAGTTGTCTGGTTTGCTGGTCTTAATTTACCTCTTTTTTTTTTTTTTACTTTTATTCCTTTTAATGGTTTTATATGTCTTATTTTTTACTGGACTAATTATTATTTTATTAATCACATTTTAATCCTACTTTTTAATAGCTTTAATTTACATATCTTTTTTACTTTACAGTTGTTGGTCTTAATTATTTTATTTTCTTAATGGCTTTTAATTCATACATATCATTCATGTGTTTGTTTTATTTTGTGTCTAATTTTTTATCTTCACACTATCCACGTAGTTTTTGCGGTTGCGACTTCCTTGATAATTCTTGCTTTGTAAGGCACATTGTGCTTCCACCTGGAATGAAATGTGTTGTATAAATAAAGCTTTGCTTGCCAGCTTACAGCCTGCAGGGCTGGAAAATGAAGCACCACTGTACTGCAGTTCCTCTATTGACCACTAGAGTCTGGCTCCAACAGTGAGTCAATCCCCATAGACTCCCACGTTAAAATGTCCAACTTTACAGCAGAAATAAACATGTTTACAGCTTGATACAAAAAACAGTTCAGGTCTCTAGAGCTAATTTCCTCCTTTCTTAAAGATACCTGGAGGAGCAGGAGGACCAGCCCTCACTGAGGCCCAAGTCACTCACAGGTGAGATGGGTGATATCTGCCTTCATGATTTGATGTGTGCAGTGTGATCATGTACCTGTAGGCGTGGTCCAGGTCCATCCCCAGGCTGTACATGACGTAGGCTACAGCCAGAGCGGGGGAGCGGGAGATCCCTGCTGCACAGTGAACCAACACTGAGGCTCCAGAGGACATGGCTGCATCTGAGCACACGCACGCGCACACACACACACACGGTCAATCGAAGTGCACAGTGACACACAAGCAGCGTCAACACGATCAGTGAGTTCTGCCTGTTCTGTTACACGCTGCAGCTGATGGGCTTGTGCAGTGGTTTGGTATGTCAGTGTTTGTGAGTGTGTGGGGTTGTGTGAGCGTCCTGACCGATGAAGTTCAGAGCCTGTGGGATCCAGGGCAGCAGGTCGTCCCACAGGGAGTCATCGATGGGGATGCGAAGATATCTGGAGCGGGGCAGGAAGGAGGGCTGGGGGCTGCAGCGGCTCACACTCAGCACGTAGGAGATCCCCAGAGAGGCCAGCCGGTCCTATACACACACACACACACACACACACACACACACACACACACACACACACACACACACACACACACACACACACACACACACACACACACACACACACACACACATATATTAGCACTTGCCACATGTTCTGTGTTTCAATGATGTTCAGTGATGACCTAATTTGCCTCCTTCAATGTTGAATGTTGTTAAAGTGACGTCACTGCATTGGTCCACAGTGGTGGACGGTGATGACGTACTGACTGTACCTGCACCTTCCTGTCTCAGTGTAAACACTACATTCAGATCTCTGCAGGACAGGCTAATCACACATCAGCTGACATTACAGCACTGATAACCGCGACTCTGACACCTGAACATGTGGGCTCCGGGTCTTACCTGCGTCACGTCGCTCTCCGCTCCCAGGTAGAGCCGCGGCAGGATGACGGACAGCGGGGGCCGCTCCACCTCTGTGTCCCGGGACCAGACCATGTCTGCAGAACAACAACACGCACCACGTCAGACCAGGGGACTTTGATCACATTAGCCTGAGGTGTCTGCAGAGTCCAGCATGTAGGTCCTGTCAGGAGGGACAAGAGCAGCACTGGACGCAGCTTGCCACTCACTGTGGGTGTCCCTGTGGAAGGTAGTCCTGGTGTACCGGAGCCGGGAGCCGGGAGCCGGGAGCCGGGAGCGGGGTGTCGGTCTCGGGTCTGCAGACTCCTTTACTCTCTGCTGAAGCTGCTGCGTCCACCGTCCTCGCTCCGCTCTCTCACACTGGCTGTGAAACGATGAGCTCATCCTCTTTCCAACAATAGATCCTGACTGGATGATGTCATCTTCAGCCAATCAGCGCCTAGCTGGACGTACGCACGCGCAGATACCTCTCCGCTGAGTGAGCGCGCGCTCAGCAGCAGTGACGGAGAGAGAAGGCAACAAGACTACTCTGACTCTGCAGGAACATGGAGCACTGACTCTTCCGTTGTGTTGAAGGACTGTATTTGCAGCGCGTTTGTTTATTTGCATGTGTTGTGTTTTTTTGCAGCGCATATTGTCAAATTGAAGATGTTTCCTGAATTTGCAGCGCGTTTATGAAGGACAAAAAATGCACAAGTATAAGTAAATAAATAAATAAATAAATGCTAGAATTAAAACATTTTGTTAAAAAAAAAAAAGAAGAAGCTATTTCTGTATTTTTACATTTATTATTTTCTTATTGATGAATAAATAAATAATAGAAATGCATAAATAAATGAATAAATAAATGTAAAAACACAGACATCAGATCAGGCTTTAAACTGTCCTCTTGGATAAAGCTTACAGTTGGAGCAGACTCAGGTGAGTCCTGAACCATCCCTTAGTGATGCTGCTATAGACCTAGACCGCTGGGGGGACTTCCATTATGTAATGAGCTCTCTCTCTCTCTCTCTCTCTCTTTTTGTAGGTCTCTTGACTCTGGAGCTGCAGGATCCAGATCTTACACAATGCTCATTATTATTCATTTTACTGTTGTTATTGATAACACAATTACACCTATGGAAATCACTATTATTTCCACTATAACTCTAACAGTGTATACACCTGTTCCACCCCCTCCACCCCACCAACATTGAGCTCTTCCTTTACAAACCTCAGAAAACTTAAGTGCACGACCAGAGGTTCGACCAGTGTCATCCAGTTCTGCTGCTGCCATCTGTATGTTTGTTTGTTTGTTTGTGTGTGTGTGTGTGTGTGTGTTCATGTGTGTGAGACAAAGACAGGAGGCGTGGTGTTGGATATATGGCATAGTTTTACTTTCACATTTTTTCATTACAGAGTAAATCTTAATTCTAACACAGGTATTGGACAGGTTCTTAACACCGATACATGAGGCTGCATTAGCTAGTGGATACTGCAGAGACACACACACACAAACTCACATACACACACTCACAGAATGACAAAATGACTACGTTTTCCACTACAAAGTTCAATGTCCTGTGATTGCCGTGCAGCCACAGAATGTAATGTGACCAGGTATTAGAAATGTCTTTAGGCTTTTTTTTTACCTGCTAACACACACACTCACATTCACACACACACACTCTGAGTCCCCGGTAGTTGTCATGGACGTCTGGCTGTCTGACATCCTGTCCTCTCCCACATCATCAGTACCTGTGAGTGACAGGAGCCTGGGAGGAGCTCCACAGCTGGACACATCAGTCCACACACACTCAGTGTTGTCGTGTACTGTGGTGGTTGTGTACAGACTGCAGGCTGGAGAATCAGGGTCATGAATCTGTCATACAGATGTTGGTGCTGGATTCAGCATCTGTACAGAGTCTGACCACTAAGTTCTGATCCAGGTGAGGCTGTACACTGCTTCAGAGGAAATCTACAGGTGTGTGCAGAGGTGGTGTCTTCTCTCAGGTGGAGTCATCCTGTTTGGGTCCGTCTCCTCCCCAGCTGTGGAGTGGCTCACTGAGTCAGCTGTTAACTGCTCATCAGAGGAGGGAATTTCACCACCACTCACTCCTGATCCCTGAAGTCCTCTCTCTTGTGAAACTGAACCCTGAACCTCACTTGTGCAGGTGGTCCTGGAGGAGAAGTTGCAGCTGCACAAAGGTGAGGTTCAGGTTTTCATAAAGGACGTTTCACAGGAGAGGAGACGTCAGTGAAGAGAAGCCCTCCTCATCGGACCAGAGCAGCTCAGACGCTTCCCAGGCTTCTCAAGCACCAGGAGCTGTCTCCCAGGCAACGGAGGAGATGGACTCAAACAGTTCTAGAATCTGTTTCAATACCAGGTCTCATCCCTGGACCCTCATCTATCCACAGGCCTCTACACAAGCATGATGGGAATGTCTCAGAGTAAAGTGATCCACTGGCACATATTTACAACACGTCAAGAACACGAGTGCACTGCTTCATTGAAATGAGGGACTGGTCTTTACTGATCATACTGGTCATTACTGGTCATGTCGTCACTGGTCATTACTGGGCAGGAGGAGTCAGGGGTGGGGGGTGGGGGGTGGGGGTGGGGGGGTGTCATGCTGGATCAGATCCCAGCACCTTAAGTGCATCTTCACTGGGAATGATTAACAAAAATCAGATCAGAGTCCTGGACCCTCAGGTCCCACTTCATTAGTGGGTCCCACCAGAACCACAAGGAGTCACGTAGATTGTATACCTTTGTGTGTGTGTGTGTGTGTGTGTGTGTGTGTGGAGGGAGGGGGTGAGTACATGTGTGTGTTGAACAGCTTCTCCCATCTGACTTCACGGAATGTTCTACCAATTCAAAAGAAATCATGCACACACACACTCTCTCTCTCTCTCTCTCTCTCTCACACACACACACACCAGCAGTACTACAGAGCAGTCAGGATGAAGCAGAATGAGACCCCAGAACAACTATGGGACACACACACACACGCCCGCACACACACACACCTAGCCACACACACACCAGCTACACAGGTAAACACCAACAAAAACAAGGATGTAGCATCATGTTAATAAACAGAATCTGGGACAGGATAACGAGGATGAAGAGGAGGATGATAACTTGGTCGCTGCTGCTGCAGCGGCTGCTTTTCCCTTATGTTGGTTACACCTTTTTTACTCAGAGACTCTTTGTTGGAGGGAGGAGGAGGACAGGTGTGGCAGGAGGGCTGAGGGGCAGGTCGCTGGTGGGGGTGGGAGTACTGGTCTTGGTAGAGGTCTGGACTCTTAGAACTGTTGGGCCAGCAGCTCACAGAGACGCCTGGACACAGAGTCCTTACTGCAGCGCAGAGTCAGACGGTACATCTGTGGAACACACACACACACACACACACACACACACACACACACACACACACACACACACACAAAGAAACATGTAAATTAAAAGCTGTCAGAGTGAAGGGAAAACATGAACGCTGACTGAGGTCCTGTACTTTGGAAAGAAGACCAGCAGCAACTCAACAGGACCCTAATCCTCATGAGACCGAATGAAATGTGGGCCCAGGTCAGGGTCTGGGGACCTGTGCTGCTCTCAGACAGAGAAACGTTACAGCCACAGTGATCAGGTTTGTGTTCAGGCACCAAAACTAGTCCACATGTAGTACCTGGTTTCATAAGTGGAGCAGGTTTAAAAATAGTCTCAGTCCAGATCCAGAGGACAGACAGTAAGAGGATCCATCCTCTGATGATAAACAGGGGAAGGAGATGACATGGTTCTCCTCTAGGTAGGGATGTCACGAGACCAGAATTTGGTAGTTGGTACCAACACTTTTGAAATTCCACCATTATCGATACATACCACAGCAAAAAATAGAAAATAACTGAAGTTGACTGAGTTGTTGTGCATGCACACGCACATTTCTTTATAGTCAGTGTACAGCAGCAGTTTAAACTGACTAAAAAGGTGACAGACCAGTGGTCTGACAATATTCATTAAAAAGCAAGTGTTATATTCTGACAGACTGAACAGTGATGACTGTAGATGCTAATGTTGTGAGGTCCCTGCTCACATTAGGAGCTGTCACTATGTTAGCCATAAAAAGCTAGTGTTAGCCTAAACAAGATAGCTAGCTTACACAAGCAAACATAGCATCTGTGAACATTGTGTGTGGAGCGTTGTTACAACAGATGTCAGTTGTCACAGTTCACAAACAGTAACATTTCAGACATGAACATGTTGACGACATGTTGTTGATATAAAATGAACAACTGAAACACTGTGCACAGATCTGATGTCTGTCTCTGAGCTGTTTCCTCCTGTGACGCAGTTTACATACCGACTGTTGGTTGTCTAGAACTTGTCCCTGATGACCTGTGTCAAATACATAATATCTACATACACCAGTCTGAGAGTGGATATGTTGCTGCGCCTGTACTCGCTGACGTTCCTCCACATGTTGTTATCGTTTACTATGCCGCCTTCTTCTTCTCCTCCAGTTTGATGTCAGACTAGGACATTGGTAGTGTTTTTTTATACTGCCATCATCAGTTCTGGAAGAATCGTATCTCTAATACCCCACTCAATGACATCTACGGTTACTTCAGTACTTATGGTTCTGTAGAATAACAAGTACCATCACATGCTCAGAATTTTAGCATCGACTTGGTACCGAAGTATTAGTTCTCATGACATCCCTACCTCCAGGTGTAATGACAGAGCTGTTCCTGGTTCACTGACAGTGTTAAACTGTATGTTTAGTTTGAAGTGATGGTAAATAGAAACTGCTGTATGAGCTGCTCATGAGGCTTCAGACATATTTATCGCTGTAGATTGTTTACATCAGTCACTGCTCACTGAGCTGAGCTCTACCTGTGCCTGGGCGTTTGGCTCCAGTCTCAGCAGACAGCCAACCTGCTGGCCCTTGGTCTGGATCACTCCAGCACACACGTAGTTCTCTGGGTTTGGATCGACGTTGTCCAGCAGGGCCGTTCCTAGTCCGAGCAGCTACACACACACACACACACACACATCACAAAGGAAGAAGGAGACACTTGAAAGTGAACCTGTCTGAACCATATACCAGATGGTTTTTCTTTGTTTTTTAATTTTATGAACTGAAGTGACAAACATCCTGATGTTAACACAGATATACAGACACAGCCTTCACTTTCAAGACAGGTGTGTCTGAGGAGGAGGTTTGATAAGATCAGGTGACAGGTGAAGCAGGAGAATGTGACATACCTTAGCCTTCAGGACTTCAGTGTCCATGCTGTGGTTGGCCTTGAAGATCTTCTGTGCTTCCTGCTGAGGCCTGAGGAGAGTTACACACAGACTTCAGGTTTCTCCACAGTGGGGGAGGGGTGGTGGCTGGTACAGTGTAAACTACTGTACCTGGATGAGGTGTTGGAGGGGATGGAGGTGTGGTAGTCACTAAGGCCCTGTTTAGACCTGGTATTAAAATCTTTCTCAGCTGATCCGATCACAAGTGCTCAGCTCTAAGTTCAGGTGTGAACGCACCAAAGACGCATTGAGGACACATTTGAGATCCAGTCACTCAGACCACATTCAGAGGAGGTCTGGACCACATGTGGCCACATTTTCAGCAGTGTTAATGTGAATGTGTCCTGGGCCACACTGAAGGAGCAGCTACTCTACTGACGTCCTCTGCTACAGTCTGATTAGTCCCAACACAGTTTAGAATGAAAGGAAATATTTTACTATTTCAAATGGATAAAACTTGATTTCACTGTAGAGCTGTTAATTTGTGCAACCCCCTTCTCTCTCTCTCTTTCCCTCACTCACTCTTTCCCTTTTAATGTGAAGCAGTATCATCAGTAGAGACTGGGTTTCAGCCGTGAGTGAACAGCTGTGATCAGTGAACAGTAAAATCAGACTGATGAGTTCAAGTCCAGACAGGAAAGAGGAGTAAAACTGAACAGATAGAAGCTACAGACGCGCACACACACACACACACACACACACACACACAGTTGGACAGACAGGGGGTTGGTCTCTGACAAACAAGAACAAGAAATTGTACTGACAACACACACACAGACTTACTGGCTGAGCTGTTTCCAGCGCTGGAAGAAGTCATGTGAAGTCATCTCAGTTGGCTGGAAGAACTTGTTGATGGTGACAGGCAGTTTGAGGGTAAGGTTCTGCAGAGCCCCTCCATACCTGAACATCACGCACACACGCACGCACGCGCACACGCACACAAAGAAACAAACAAACACCTCAGATTAAGACATTGAGAAAGTGACACCAAGTTGTGAAGGACACCTGCAGATTTTTAACATCAGTTCATCAAATGAACTATCAGTGAGTCTGAATCCCACCACAGGTCTTGGGTTGGTTGTATAGACTCACCTGAACTTGATGTTGAGCAGGGGGGCGTCAGAGAAGTCAGTCAGACACTCGATGTTGAGGACCTGCTGGATCTGGGCTCCACCCTCCACCAGTGGTTCCACTGGTTTGGTCTGAACGTTGAGCTGTGGCCGGTTGTCAAGGACCATGATGACATCACACACAATGACCTCAGCTCCAGGTCCAGCATTATGATACTTTATAATGTCTTCAGGTGTTTGTACTCTCTACTATTGTATAAGATTGACAGTAGAGCTGGGTGATACAGTCAAAACTGTCATCACAATAAACATATCAGTAGATATTGATAATTATTGATAATTTCTAATGACATATTTTGACCAGGAGAACAGTGGTCCTCTGCTGTGTGGGTTGTGTCCTAGTGTCTGGATATTGTGTCATACTGTGTTGTTGCAGAGTCTTTTTCCATCATGGAGCCTGTGAGTTGTTTCTTCAGATGTAGCAGATGTTGGTCATGAATGATGACATGTTGCGTAAGTGTGGAAGCAGCTCAGCTAATAAAATGTGTTTGTTGTTTTCCCACTCTTGGTCAGACGGTTTTCAGACTTAAAGAAACTGCCACACCTGTTCTTTATGTTCACTGTCGTTTCCTCGTAAGGGAAATCAACCTAAGACAAAGTGCCATGTAACAAATAAAGGAGCTGTATCTATGTTTTGCTATTGCTACAAAGCTAACATCAGCATTGACAGCTGTTTAATTACCAGTCTCACCAAGAGCTTCAGTTGTCGTTATGTTATAATACGTCCTCTGAGCAGCTACTTCTTCGGGGCAGCTACTTCTTCAATCTCAGAAAGTGGCGAGACAGTCCAAATGGACAGGAGCTAGCTGGTTAGCATGCTAACTTCAGTCGCAGAACAGATGTGATAGAGACAAGAGTTAACATAGGTGTTTCTTTCCACCTCAGAAGACAGCTGTTGGTTAGTAAAGGAATTAAGTTTGATGCTGAACTCAAGTTTCTTCTTGATTGGTTAGTACACAGCTGCTAATGCTAATGTTAGCTATGTAGCTATAGCAAAACTTACAAATAGCCCCTTCAAAGAGACTTCATCAGTACAACTCACTTTTCAATTCAAGGCTGTCTACCTCAGAGACACTGTTGACTCATTGATGTAATATGTATAAAATGTTTGAATTATAAAGTTATATTAAGTTTTTCTAACTGGATTTGTCTCTTAAATTCCCTGGATATAAAAGGACAAGGTGCTGAAGTTGAGCTTACATTTCTCATACAGACAATATGATGATAGAGGTGATGGTGTTGATTGCTTTGAAATGACTGAATACCTGACTGTGTCCCAGTTCTCCCAATTAAAGCTCTGGTTGCTTCAGAACACACAGAAACAGAAAGGATATGAGACTGCAGCTCCCCAGGACAGTTGACTGTGGTGGTGAAACTGGCAAACTGCACTGATGTCTTGTTACCATAGAACAGGTACATTCTCCCTGAAAGACAGACACAGCATGTCATTTCCTACATTAACATGTCAAACATGTCTGACCAGCAGCCTGCACCTAAAACACAAATCAGGGGTTGATCCAGCTCTTTGGGCTTAACTCAGGGGTTCCTGTATCAGTAAGCTGGCTGACTGTTAATCAGGTAGATCCCCATGATAATCAGGGTAGATCTCTATGATAACTATGGGAGGTCACCATGGTAACCAGGGGAGATCTCCATGGTAACTAGGAGAGATCACCATGGTTACCAGGGGAGATCTCCATGGTAACAGGACAGATCATCATGGTAACCAGGGTAAACCACCATAGTAACTAGGAGAGATCACCACAGTAACCTGTGAGGCACAGCTCAGAGGATAAGATCAAAACTTGTCAACAGCCCAACTATTGATCAATCAGATCACTTTAATAGCTGAGTCAACATTCCTACAGGATCCTGACAGGGACTAAAGAGTTTACAGTAAAGTGACCAATAATAAATGATCAATAGATGTGTTGATCAGTGGAGCTCTTTGGTGTTTGACTCTTTCCCTGTGTCCCTCTGGTTTTAAAACAGAGCTTCTAACAAACAGAGGTGTATCTCCCCCCCACCCAGCAGTAATTTCACAGGGTCTGATTATGGATAAGATCTAGTCCTAAATCACCAGACCAGCAGATGACTGTGTCCACCAAGTAACACCACCACACAACCACAGACCACAGCCATTTATCAATGAACAACAAAAAACACCGGCCTTGCTCATTAACAATCAAATACCAAACCAAGGCCACATGTACCTGTAGTCCACCAGGCCCTGTCCTTTTGATGATAAATTATTAAAACCACGCCCACGTGTCAACAAACGCCACAAGGTGGTGTGGACAACTCACCCAGATTCTGACGGTACTCTGACTTGATGCCGATCTGTAGGAGCTGGTTCTCAAACAGAACCCCGTTGTTCTTGCAAACAAACCTGCAGGATGGAGGCATTTAAAGGTTAAACACTGAGACATCACTGTGACAGTTGCTCTGCTCTCATATCTGGAAACACCTGAATGAACAATATTAAAACATCTAATAGCAATAATTTACCAATAGAGGCTCAGTAGAGTTTGTTCTTGTCTGAACAGGTCTTTGTCTCCCAGTGTAACTTTTATCAGGTGACTTTACTTTGACTTTTTCCACAGTATCATTGATAATCAAACATAAATAGTGAAGTAGCTCAGGACCAACACAAATAAAATGTTTGGTAAAAATTTTTGGAGTCAAGAGACATTTAGTCCATTGTCCTGAAAAAGGAGTGAAAGTCTCTGGTTAACATTTAATTTAATTACTGTAACTGAAGGAGCAGAGTCTAATGTTACACAACTACTGACCTCCATGCTGCGGTCTGACCCAGTTATGTTATGTTACTATGGGTCAACTCAGGGTCATGCTGGGATAAATTTACTTGAATGTTTTTGGCAGACAGGAAGTCAGCCTTTGGATTTTTTTTTTGATTTCGTGCATCAATTTTCATTTTATGTTTCTTATTTTGACACGTCGTCAAACACTTCCTGTAGCAGCCATGCAGAGCTGCAGCTAGGCAAACACATGAAAAACTTACACACAGAGAAAAGCCTTACTTGTTAAGAAGTTCGTCTGCCTCAGACAGAGGAGGAGCAGGATCCTCAGAGGGAGGAGCAGAGCTGAGAGACCACAGGACAGCACAGGGATGAAGAGACAACCCAAAGGGCAGAGGAGAGATGATACAGACAGACAGGAGGGATGATACAGACAGACAGGAGGGATGATACAGACAGTAGGACAGAGGAGGGATGATACAGACAGACAGGAGAGATGATACAGACAGTAGGACAGAAGAGCAGTGATACAGACAGACAGGAGGGGTGATACAGACAGTAGGACAGAGGAGGGATGATACAGACAGACAGGAGGGGTGATACAGACAGACAGCGAGGGATGATGCAGACAGCAGGACAGAGGAGGGGTGATACAGACAAACAGAGGAGTGAATGACAGAGCAGATATGGGAGGAGATCCATTCAAGACAGTCCAGTGACAGTGTGATAGAGATTGGTTAAAGAAAACACCAGAGAAGAAGAAGAAAGGAGGATAAAAGGATAAAATGCAGGGGTTGTTAGTAAAAGCAGTTTGTACAAAGATGATATCATTACACAATGAACAGGTATGTGCTGAGTAGTTTTACTGTGTCCAGTGCACTCAGCATGTATATGGACAGTTTATGTTGTTCTGGTTCTGTACTCAAGCACACTGAATAAGAAATGAAACAATATCCATGAGGGTAAAGTGCAGACTTCTACCTCTGATTTCAGTGTTTACATCCACACTAGGTGAACAATGCAATGCTGAAAACCTGACAGGCAGCAGGACTCTGCAGTCAGCACTTTAACCCCAGTCAGTGGTTCATTTCAAGTCCTCTGTGCTGGGCAACAGAACATTATTGACTGTCCACATGCAGACGGACTGCACTCTACTTCAGCCACTGTTTACATGTTTAAAAGCACATATGTAGTCTTCACATGAAGCTTGATGCCATGAACATTTTTCTGAAAAATGTTTGTGTGTAAACTGTATTTACTCCACTTCACAACAGCTGCTGTCCCTGAGACCTTGTTTTAGGTTAAAAGTTTGCAGCTGTATATTTGATGGACGGTTGCAATGTATTTACAGCTCATGAGGTATGTGAAATGTGACCTCTCTGGTGAGAAAGGATCTGGAGTTGGTGCAGGAGATGGAGCGATACCAGCCAGATCCAGTTGGGCCCACTTTAACACACAGCACTGTTTCTGGAACCAAATTCCTGTAGAGGGGCAGGACTCTATCCTTTTCCAGAGTTGCCCAGGGTGAGAGGCGCCGGGCAGGTGTGGGTAAACTCACGAGACCTTGGCTGAGCGACACTGTGTTGGGGTTCTCCCCAGAGAACAAGAGGGTCACCTCTATGCGGCTGGAAGTCACTAAGGGAAAGGCTCTGACTATTGTCTGTCAGTGCAAGAGGGGGAGGCTATAGAGAAGGACTTTTGGTTGGCCTCAAGGAGGTTCTGGCAAACCATCAGGCACCTCAGGAAGGGGAAGCAGAGTTTTGCCCAGGCTGTTTTCAGCAGGGGGGAGAAGATTACACCTCCAGTGCCCTTTATGCGACAATTTAAATCTATTCTTCAGAGAAACAATCTAAAGCTAAATCCATATCATGGCTCTTATGTCTAAACTGCCTTTTATATACAAAATGAATGACACTGTTAGTGGGTTTATCAGAGCTTTTTCACTGAGCTGCTGCTGATGGAAGTGGGTCTGATGAGAGGGTAAAAAGCTCCACACACACCGAGTGTAGAGGTAGTTCTGTCTGTTTCTACTCAGTTCATCTGATGATAATAAAAGACAGAACAGCTGATTGAGTTAAAGTTTCAGATCAGGCATCAGCGTATGTGTAGACTCAGGTGCTTTTATGTAAACCTACATGGCTCATGTGTAGTGTACATCAGCATCATATATTCATAAAGATTAAAAAGCCTAGAAAAACAATGTGGCACTGTCATATTTGTATTTTTCTAGCTAATTCTGTAGGTTACTACTGGGCCCTTACTCCGAGTCACCAGAACCCTCCACCAATAGGGAATCAGAGGTCTCGGTGGGCTGTTCCAGATCTCTGTCAATGTCCAATCACGGTAGAGGACAGGAGACAGACACGCGCGCACACGCACACACACACACAACACACACACACGCACACGGAAATGGAGAGAAAGGAAGGAGAGAAAAAGACGAAAGACAGTCACATACACAGCAAAGATAAAAAAGAACAGACAAGTGTAGCAGACCTGCCAACCATGAAGTTCAGTGTGCAGCACCTCCTGCTGCTCTCATGGTCACTCCTTTAGACATTGTGTGTGTGTGTGTGTGTGTGTGTGTGTGTGGGTGTGTGTGTGGGTGTGTGTGTGGAGCCACACTGTCCAGCTGTGATTCTGCCTCACAGCAACTGAATGATACCAGATACCAGAGGGGTGTCCGGTACCATGGACTCTGCTGACAGCACAGCACCTGAAGCTCCACAGCACACTGGTATGTTTTCATCTAACTAGACCTACAACACACTTCTATACTTTACACAGACTCCACAGCTCCAACAGCCATGGAAATCCTCAGTTCTCTGATGTTAAAGGTCACTTTGTTGTAATTGTTCTAACAGAACCACTTCCTCTCAGCGAAACAGTCACTCTCACACACTCTCCAACTATAAACAAACCTGATCTAACAGTGCCCGCCTACCCAGCTAAGACGACACAACATGTAAATGAATAAATCTGGAAGACTCTGAAAGGCAGAGCCCTCCTCTTCCTCACACCTCCAAGCTAATATGGGTCAAGCAAACAGGTCTTGTGTCAGCACAGAGACATCAGTCACACTGATCCAGCACTGGGAAAGACTCAGACCAGCCTGACTCCCAACATGTTAGAATTGGTAACTGTATGTGACCTTGAGCACAAGGACAGTATGTTACATCTCTGACCACCAGCTGGACATGTAAATATTACACACACAGCCCAGGACTGAGGCAGGAGCTCTGATTGGCTGACTGAGCTGTCACACAGTGTCAGTCTCCAGGTTGACAGGTCCATATCAGACAAAGATAGAGCAGAGAGAGACAGAGCCAACAGAACAACAACCAACACAGACACTTTACAGATAGTTGTACAGTAGACTAACAGCACAAACACACCACAAACACCACAACTATTTACATTAACAGCTGAAGACAGGAGAGAAACAGTACATGACTAAGTCAGGGTGCTTCCTCATTGAGGTCCAAGACCAGTTTAGCCCAGTCCAGTATGAGAGCCACAGTGTGAATAGTCAGTGTGTTTACATGCACTTAGGTAACCAGGTTACAGTTGGCCTTCTTCTTCATCGTCAAGGAGATGAGGAACCTGGTTTCTGTAACCGGTAGTGAACTAGAGAAGGTGTTGACCTCCGGGAGGACACTGGTTTCTCTACCACGTGGACATGAAACCAGGTTCTTACACGTGTGCATGACAAAGTGCAGACAGGCAAAGTTGAACATGTTCTCATATTTAACAGAACTACGTGTACGTCTGAGTGAAAGTGAAAGGGTATCTCTAGAAGTCTGAAGAAGATCTTTGAACATGTGACTTTCATCCAGATCTGCCTCCAAATGTGCTGGGTTCTCCCCTGCTCCCGTCCTTACTAACGTGCAGGTAAACACTCTGAGTAAAGGCAGCAGTGATGTCTGGAGCCTGTAAATATCTTACTGGATGAATATGAGCCAACATAAGCCTGATCATGTTCTGGTCCAGTCTTTATATCTCTCTTTCCTCTGGAGGAAATTTTAGCTTTATCAACTCTGTTACAGCCTCTCATACTGGACTTTGGCTTACACTGGGCTCTACATCTGCTCATCAAGAGATGACCTTTCACCTTAGGAAGCCGTCATCGTTGACGGCGGCAGAAGGTGCGGCAGGCCCTGCCTCAGAGAACACATCCACCAATAAGCTGCCAGCGCTGGCTGGAGCGGCGCCAACAGGGGCAGCGGAGCGAATCCCGAGGAGGTCCGCTGACGGTGACGGGGTGGACTGGAAGACAGAGGTACTTAAGTTACAGCTGGTGATGTGTGTATAGAGGCGACTTGTGAATAAGGGTCAGAGAGTCTGCTTACAGCGTTAGAGGCAGCCATGGCTGCTGTGTCTGGCCCCCGGTCGGCCCCTCCATTCAACTCCCCACCCTCCCTTTTGTTGTCCTCCAGCTCTGTCACAGACACGGCACCAGGCCCCTTCTTCTTCTTCAGCTTAGCCAGGATGGACGACTCCCTCTCTGGGAAGGGAGGCATCTCCTCCAGGACAGTGGCCTGAGGGAACACAGAGGAGATTCGTGCTGTGGGTTTGGACTGAAAGTTGCCAACACCTGACTGAAAACTCACAACATCATCATCATTATTATCATCATCATCATCATCATCATCATCATCATCATCATCATCATCAGGACTAACCAGGACATCGGTGCTAGCAATGGAGGAAAGCTTAAGATACTCGACAGCACGCTGCTGCAGTTCCACGTCTGAGTTGCGGATCTGGCTGTCACAGCGCAGCACCTCTTGGATGGTGGCCTTGGTCTCTGGGAATAGGTTGATAAATTTGATGTAGGCCGACAGCAGCAGGGCACGGGTCGGCACAGAGCACAGGTGGAACTTGGAGTGGAGAAGGTTGAACTGGACCAGGGGGCTGGACAACAGGACAGCAAATTTACTATTTATCATTTCACTGATCAACTTGGTGCCTTACAGACCAAAAACCAACGTACCTGGAGCGAGGGTCACCAGCAATGAGGTTACCAAACTCTCCCAGAATGTAGCCTCCAACCTTCACCATGTTCTCGTGGCAGGCAGGGGCCTGCAGGGCCTGGGTGAGACAGAGACTCAGTTTACCGATTTCTGATCATGATTGTGCCACATATACATTTAATTTGCCCTTATCGGTTGTGACCTTTTCATTACTGGGATCATCACATCTTCACTACAGGTCTGAAACCTGCTTTGCTGCTGACATTATGACTCTGAGAACATGTTCAACGTCAACATTCAGTACGCGACAGGTTTATTTTTTACTGGGGCTTCAATGACTCTGAAACTGAGGCTGAGACCAGGACACAAAAAACATGACAAGTATTGTCTCTTGAAAACCGTCCCACCGTGTGTCCTCCTCAGCTAAAGACCAGCATCTTTATCACCGCTGCTGTATTTTTAGATTTCATGTAGCCGTACCTCAAAGACCGTCTTGGCGGCGTAGCCCTGCACATCATCTCGGTTGATGACGATCTGAATGACGCGATACCACACCTCTTCACTGACATAGTCACCAGCGATGCGGATGAGGTTTAGAATGGTGTCCACGTACCAGGAGTAATCCACAGCATACTTCTCTGCGAGTATGGCCACTTTCAGCACCTTAGTGAGGACGGCAGCAGAGAGAGTCAGGCTTAAGAAAACATTAACACTGACAAGCGCACTTTAAGACTTTTTTCAAACTGATTTCTGATGAAACCAACTGTCTTCACCAATTCTCACGTGACCTTTAGAGGAGAAAAGAAAGCAGCAGGACACCCACCATCTCCTCTCTGATGGAGTAGTCTGCCGTCTCGAGGTAACTGAGCATCTCAGCTACTATCTGCTTGGCGTTGCTGCGATCACACATGGCATAGAGCAGATCAGCTGCTCTCTGTCGCACACTCACATCCCTCTCCGTCTGCAGAGACACACAGAGAGACAGACCAGTCACTGCTACTGACCAGTAGACCACAGCTGAACATGAGGTGGAAAGGTTGGTAGGGTTGTGGTGACAGGTACAGGTCTGCTGCTACACTTTATCATTGACAAATCAAAACTGTGACTGTAGGTCAGCATGTGAGGCTCCACCTTCAGGGCGTTGATGACAGTCTCGATGTGCGTCTTCACAGCTTCGTGGGAGAACTCGGAGCTGGCCAGAGTGCACATGCTCTCCAGAGCAAGGTAGCGCAGGTTGGTCTCTCTGTGCTGCAGAAACTGGCCCAGCTGGTTACAGGCTCGCACCAGCAGGTTTGGCTCACTGCCCAACACAAACACACAAACACAAACCGAGACTTATTTCGGAGACCTGGGGGAACTCTGTGTCTTCACACCGTAAAAAAAAAGCACAACAGCTGGTCACATCAGGACTGAGTGAGACTCACTCTGAATCATAAAGTAAAGTAACATTTAAAAACAGATCTAGACAGTGAATTAATGAGGGACATGACATCTATGTTTGTCATACTGAATTCATGATATCCTGCAATAATCTGTATTTATCCATATCCGTATAAGTAGCACTGAGGTTAAACCAACTACAACCTACACAATTCTTGACGGGTAGTGGTACTGTATGCACACACCAGCACACACACATATATATATGTGTTAGGGATGTCCCGATTAAGTATTTTTGCCCCCGACCATTTAATATTGAGTATCTGCCAATACAGAGTCCCGATCCCATACTTGTATTTTCCTCAGTGCAAACTTCAAATCTATTTTAATTACTGAAATCACTCCAATGTATATGGTTAACAACTGAATAACTGCATTGCACTAAGACAATTGAAGTAAACAAACTAAAAATATTTGATATGGCTCTTATCACAATTCCACCCAGTGCAGGTTGGTTTTCATTTGTTTTTAACAAAATAATCTTCCACAGCGATTAGCTGGTCATTGTGATCAATTCAATGATCCACTCTGTAATCTTTTTGGCCTTGGCGCTGTCTCAAGGACATCTCTCTATTTTAAAAGTATCCTCCAGTGTGTGTTGCCTTGGTGCTTCCTCGGCCTGAGTTGCCTGACTAAACTCCCTGTATTCAGTTGTGTGTTTATTTTTTCTAGGTGTGGTTGTACTGAACGCAGCCCTGCTACTATCGCCTCACGAAATGCTCGCATGCCAAACATTACAAGTGGCTGTTCCTTTTGCTTTCCATTGTAAAATATTTCCCCACTGCAGGCAGTTTAACCTTGTCCTGCCACAAATTGTGCTCTCTGTTTACAACACCTATGTGACAGCTGATGTAAAACAATCGGGCTTAGATTAGGGATTAATAAAGCCAATACTGATCACTTAAAAAATGCCTTGATCATACATATGTGCATGTATGTGTATACACACACACACACACATATATAGACACATATATACATGTGTATACATACATACATACATGCATAGATTACACACACACACAGTTCACCTTCAAGGTCTTCTTTAAATAATAACTTCAACAATCATTCAAGTTCACTGAAGCTGTTCCACTGCTGAGCTACTAGCTGAAACACTGTCACCGTTCACTGCGTGTGTCAGACTTTGTGTCTGTTGTTGTACTGCATACTCATGTTGTTGAAGGCTCACCTGTCATAGTGGATGATAAGTGAGATCGCCTCAAACAAGATGGCGTTCTTAGCGTTGGAGTGCTGGACCTTCTTGGACTTGGGGGGCTCCTGAGCCTTGTTGAGGATGGTCTCCAGACACTCTACCAGACGGCCTTTGACAGCGCCATCCTCTGGTGGAGGGTAGCACTGCAGCAGGCGCAGCAGCTTGCAGGAGAGCCACGGCGCTGGCACAAAGTAGTAGGTGTAATCTTGCAGGTCAGTGGAGGCTGACGACACAATCTGGGGAAAGAACAGGATTCTTCTTCAGGTTTATTATGGTCAGTTAAACCTGAACCTGTTCCACACACTGCTCAACAGCCTCAACACAGTGCAACTTATTATATACAGTGTATATAATACAGCTTATTATATGCAGTGTATATAATACACTGTAATACAAAATGTAGTGTCAGAAGCATGAGAGGTCAGATTTATGTTTTGTAGAGCCCGACCGATATATCGGTTGGCTTATATTGGCCTATCAGAGATATATCAGTATCGGCACATGTATTCTCCGATATGCGCTGATATGAATACTTTTATTAAGAAGCAATAATGCAGTGGAAATGCTCAGGTCAAGTCAAGTTATATAGGCAGCATTTTATGTAGATTTGATAATTTGTTTTCATTCAAGTTAAAAAAAAATATATATATATGTATATATACATACACACACACACACACACATACATATATACCTATTTGTTCTTATATTTTTTATTTGTAGTTATTTATTTTTTTAGTTATTTTATTTAATTCCCAATGAAGTTTACTGTTTCAGTGTACTGACGTCATTTTGGACAATAAAATTTAAAGTTAAACGGTAAAATATCCTGCTTTCATTACATATCTTTTTTAACAAGTGTATTTGTCTTAACAGTTAAGTTGTTTTTGTTCTGTGCTGAACCACAGTCCACATTAGTCTTGGTCCTGAGCTCATCAACGGTCTACACATCTGTCTGTGAATCCCACTTCAATAACTGACACCAGTGTTTTCTATGAACCTCTGAGTAAAACCCAGTCACAGCTGATATCTCTATAAAAAAAACCTTTTAATGACAGGTGTACTGCCAGTGTGAGTGTGAGTAAATGGAAATGGTAAATGGACTTGCACTTATATTGCGCTTTTCTAGTCTTACTGACCACTCAAAGCGCTCTGCCACATTCAACCATTCGCTCACATTCACACACTGATGGAACAGCCATCAGGGCAATGTGGGGTTCAGTATCTTGCCCAAGGATGCTTCCACATGCAGCCTGGAGGAGCCGGGGATCAAACCACCGACCTTGTAATTAGTGGACAACCCGCTCTACATCCTGAGCCACAGTTGCCCCAAGTGTAAATGTATACACAATATATAAACTGATCAATGCCTGAACACAACACACACACACACACACACACACACACACACACACACACACACACACACACACACACACACACACACACACCCTGCTGAGTCGGGAAACGGCCAGGGAAACACAGGTTTTGAACTCATCTGGATTCTTCTGGCTCAGACAGGTGATGAGAGAGATGGCTGCTGTCACCACACCCTAAACCCCAGAGAGAGAGACACACACACAGATATATTTAACAGATTTAACCATTTCATCTCTTATAATAAATTCATTTAACATTCACACACATAAACATAAGCTGCATAATGTACAGGACCAATTCTGGACATGTTGGTGCTCGAGACATTTAAATCGAATTTCATTCAACTTCTGATTAGTATCATGTTATCAACATCATCTGTACATTATAAGACTGCTGTTTCCACACACTCTGTGGCTCAATGGGTCACTCCCTCACAGCGTGTGGACAGAGCTTTAACACAGCACAGTGGGGTGTTTACTAACAGCCATCACTACTGGAGAAAAAACCTGGATTTATAGCTAATTAATGAAAAAACCTGAACTGATCCTGATCAAGATTCTTGACCAGTATGGGACATCCTGACTCTCCTTTTGTTTAAGAGTGCAAAGAACTGTTTAACATTACAGGACATGCACGATATGCAAAAAA